GTTGTACTATAAACACATCGAGTAGCCAATTCATCACCCTTACAAAAATATAATGATAGAAGACAAAAGAGAATAGAATAGAAAAAAAAACTTATACCGGATATAATTGAATTGGCTTTGGTAAATGATTATCAAATTGATAATTGAAATCATATGCTTCAGCATTAAACAGAGATTCAACCACTTTTTTATTTCGAATTAACTTTGTCCATATACTTAGGTCTATTTATAAAAATAATTTGTTGCATCAATAGAAACTGTTACTCTACCTTGCAAATGAGTATGCGGAAATGCGGCAAGAACTGTTATAACTGGTTCAGGAAAATTCTATAATATAGATGAGTTTACTTCTATATAGAAACGAAGTTTCTATTTACTTCTGTAGCTTCAGCTGGACAATAAGAATCGAGTATAAATCGATCAGCTTCTGGTGGAATGGCAATAGCGGAATAACTTACACTTGCACCAAGTGTAAGATAGCCAAGCTCCTATTGACGAAATTCTTTCCCAAGATAAAATCGAATTCCTGAACTATCACGACGATCTAAATCAAATACGATATGGTGATATTTCTTAATCTACACTTGATAACATTCCATACTGGGTGTTAGCTTTGGATTATCATAATGCATTTGGAACATGTAATATTTTATCTCAAAATCACCACCTACTGGATATCCGCCAATCTCTGCATACTCCAGTATCTATAGAAACGAGACTTTTCAGCGAGTAGATATCTAATTTTGAAAACTTACTTCATCACCACCAACAGTCCATACAGCGGTCACATTTGTAGCGTATGGCAAAATGCTTTCAATAATTTCATCACATATACCATCTGGTAAATTGTTGTCATCGAACACAACTGTGAGGTTACATTCCATCAACACTACATGATGAACAATATCTCGATTATTTGGATCAATCATTGTTTTACGCTGAAAATGAGAAAATGGTTAGAAAGTTATTCGAAAATATACTTCAGGAGACCCCTACCGTTTTGGTCGCCTAACTCAAATTTTTTTTGACTCGTGCTCTTTCATCGTTGATACAGCAGAAAAACTCACGCTACGATTATTCTATGCGATACAAAATTCACCTAATGCTAATGATTATATCCCATTGAAGAGATGCATACGGCATAGGTCATGGGCCCTTCGCACGGCGGAACACAATCAGTTTTCAACCACTTTGATTGGAGAAAAAAGTTCTGACACATACAGAAAAAAGGCAGAATCTCCACGCTTCCTCCCTTCCTCAGTTGTTCGACATAGTATGTTCGATAGAGAGCTTTTAGTAGATTTGACGAAAAAGCTGTAGTAAAAAAGAAACATGTATTTGGATCATTTTATTAGAATGAAGGGCGCATTATAACTAACAAAGCAGGACGACTTTTAGCATTTACAAGTCCAACCTCTTCTAGCAGGAAATTATCCGATGATTATGAACCTAGCATAGCTCTTGTTCTACTCGTCGCAGTCTATCTACTTTGAAAGTTTAAAATTTTTCTTATGAGCCATTTTCTAGAAAACTCGGAAAGAAGGTGAAATACATACAGCAATTGCATGTCTTCGTTGTCGAAAATTGGTTGGTGCTTTGTAGATTTTACAATGATAAGTAGTTTCAGCTGCTGGTACAACTTACTGAAAGAAAATATTAACAATAAACTCCAAAAGATAATGCTATCTTTACTAGAATAACTAACGTTGTTCAATTTGAATTCTAAGTAGTCAAGACCAGCAAAACTTTTCTTCTGGTGATGGATTAAGATAAGATTGAAGGGGAACAATGCGCGAACTTCTTCGATTATCGTGATAATAAATTAAACCATCTGATTGAGACATATCGGGATCTACAAGACCATATGCAAAGATAAGAGTATTAGTACCAGACTAAACATATATTTAATATTATAATAATTTTATCAAATAGATAAATAACAAACTTTAATTGGAACGTCCATTTTATCACAAGTGTCAAGAGAACGTTTAAATTGAATGGTTGTCCAACCATTTTGTTCACGACCTTTTAGTGCGAGCCAATCTGTTGTTGTGTTATCAATGACTGGTGGCGAGGAACTATTCGCATATCGGTCCTATGAATAGATAAATAAATATCTCATGCACAGAGAAAGCATATCAGAATTTTGTATATACTTGAAAACGAACTTGACCTCCTTCATCAACCCATCCAAGTCCAATATCGGCACCTTTCATTCCACCGGCTATATGTGACAAACATGAAAAGTTTAAGATAAAGCAGAACTTATTTTGAAAAATGATGTACCTGGGCTAATGCCCAAAGCAATCCATCCTGTTGTTTTAATATGTAATTCGAAAGTAATTTCTTGTTGAGTTTCATTTACTGTCCACCAAAGATCAGCTACATTACGCTGAAGTTCAGTTGAATATCGATAACTTGTATATGACTGAAGAGGACTTGAAATTCCATTAATTTTTTGAATTACCAATAACGATAAAATGATATGCGAAACAGTGTATAGCCACATCATTTGTTTTTATCGAAATAAATTTATTGTTATCAAAGATTTTCATACTATGAATGCCTTATATATGTATGTAGATAATCTCAATATTGTGAAAGTATCTACCATGACATTCTCTTCAGACTCTTAGTCACAGTTCTTTTTTATACTGACCAGATTAAAAGACTTGTTTTTGTTAACAGGTAAAGTTCGTAGGTATAAAATCCTGTGAATATCATGATAACATTTACTTAATAATATCGGATATAGCACGCGTCATTGGCTGATGTAGTTTTTGTCTTTATCGAATTTATAATCTCAGTGATATAGTGAGATGATGTTTTTGTGTAAAGATAACTTATAGAATTAGTCATTTTTTTTTAAATGATGGGTATCCTAATTCAGATTGTGTATCAAATAAAATCGAATACAGATGTCAATAATCGTTTCATTTTCTGAACCATCTAAACTGATAAGAAACGAAAATTGACAGATACTCAATAATAGTTTTATGAAGACCAACAATATGTAGATCCTCTATCATTCGGTGAAGAAGCAATACGTATATGAATCAGTTTCTTCAAATCCTTCTTTTTAACAATAATCTTCAATTCCCTGTACTTTCGAAGAGCTTCAGCAACAGTTAAGCGCAGTAAACTGAGAAAAATCTGGTACTTAAGTTAATTACTATGAAGTAGTCGAGAAAAAACCTACTGTAAAAAGTTTATAATAAAAAATTAATAGCTGGTTTTCAAACAAGTTTGAACAGTCACATGTAAAGTTGAATTTGAGACTAGTTGCATTAACACAGTAAGATTTCATACAATACGTATTTGAACAACAACTCATCAGAAAAATTTGTGCTAGACTAAAATTCCCTCAATGCTGTCTTCTATGAGATATTGCAATCACAGTTGGTTAATATGATCCCTCTTATACTGAAGGATATCTGGGGTAGATATGTGCTTTTTATTTTCTTGTATTGTTTGTTATTTCAATCAAATAAAGTCAAAATAGCGAATGTACCCTAAAAAATGCTTGTCTTTTTTGCTAAGACAAATTTTGTGAAGGCTGCTAAAAACAATGAAAGCAATATTTTTGAAATAAAAGAAAAATACTCACAGCAAATAGTAATTAGTATATATGAAAAAAGCTTCAGCTCGAATCTTCTGACCATGTCGAAGCAGAGTGTGGGACACAATGGGCAACTAGACGGACATGAACGAAAGTATTCCTTTCCAAAGTTCAAATATTGGAATAAATACATCTATGATTAGTCTATCTTGCCTTGAAATAAAACTTTCAGAAATTCAGCATAACGCCGGGAAAGCTCATAAACAAATGACTTCTCTATGGGATCTATTGTGGTAAAAAAAATCATTTTGATTGAACTCAAATTGGAAAAGAAAAAACTTGATTACCCAACTAAAAGTAGACTCGAAAATTGGTCATTCCGTATTTTGCAAACCCTACAAAGCGTTCAAGTCCTGTTGACCTCAAAGTTTTACCGATTATTCTTCTATGTGTAATCTATCGTTGGCCTTAGCATAATCTTACGCCGATGAACGCAGACTGTGCTAGGCGTCTTCCAAAAATTCAGGCTTCTCCCTCATAATCCCTATTTTCTCCATTACCACAGCATTGTTCCACAAAAATATGGTGGTATTCGGAATCACCTCGCCGAGATGCATCAAATCATAAATAAGAGTAAGAATTTTTCAAGAAGAAATATTGGATACCGCGCCAGTTAGGGTTCCGAAGATTGGTTATTCTGTATTTTGCAAACCCTACAAAGAGATTAAGTCCGATTTACGTTAAACTTTCACCCGATTAGGGTGTGGGTGTGGGTGTGGATAGACTTAGAATAGAGGCACACTCATATCCACACCCACACCCACACCCAGCCCACGCCCACCCACCCACACCCACACCCATATTAACCTATTCTTTTCAAAGATTGTCTCGTGTTATAGTTTGTTATTTTTCGTTTCTTCTGATGTTCGTCATTTATCTATCTCTCTATTTCTCGTTATTTCTATCCTTTCCAAAAATGTTGATAGAACACATTTTTTTGTCCAGTAGGGGAGTATGTTACAGTGTGTTCTACTGTAACGTATACATCGATTCTATCTATTCTCTTTTCTTTTGTCTTTTCGTTTTCCTCTATTTTCTTGTGTTTGTTTTCGCGTGCGTATATAAACGTTTGTTTTCTAACAGAATAAACAGAGAGAATAAACCACACACATACGTTAACTGTGTTCGTCGCTCTTCGTGAGCGCGAACGCTAACATAAGTGTTGATTAAAAAAAATAAAAATATTTCTTTCACTTAGACGTGGTACAAAACTTAGATGAAATGAAATTACAATTTTTTATTAGGGTGTGGGTGTGGGTGGGTGTGGGTGTGGGTATGGGTGTGGGTGTGGGTGTGGTTGTGGATGTGGTTGTGGGATGTGAGGTGTGGATGTGGTTGTGGATGTGGTTGTGGAGGTGGTTGTGGGGTGGGAGGTGTGGATGTGGGTGTGGGTTTGGGTTTGGGTGTTTTTCCTGTTCTAGAGATACTATCAGCCATAGCCACAGCCACAGCCACAGCCACACCCCACACCCGCACCCACCCTCAAGNTTGTTTTAAAATAAAATGAAAATTAATAAAATAAGCTGTTTTTATAAAACAGAAATAAAGATTTGGATTGTATCCCTAAGAACCCCTTACCCTAAAAGAAAAGACTTCTTTCATTGATAAAAAAAGACCGTGCAGTGTGCACGGGTTCTCGCTAGTACTATATATGAGTCAGTCCCCGTAAGCCACGACCGATTTTGCTCAATCAGAGATCCGAAATTTTTGGTCGCGTTCTGCAGTAGCCCTCGGCCCCGTAGTGTTTGAGTAGAAAGTTTGAGCGCAATCCTATCCATTTCTGGGAAGAAAATCTATCAGAAAGACAATTTTTCTATTGTTTTTTTATAAAAACTTTAAAAAATCCTACAAAAAATCGTTCGAAAAGTCAATGCGACTTCACGAAAGAACCTTCGATAAGGAATAAAAAAATTGGTTCTCAGTCTAAAAAAAGTATGCTCTGCAAAATGGAATATATATCACACAAATCTAAGATTATGATTGAGCAGCCTCGCGTGGCAGTAGGTCGTGGCTTATGTGAACTGGCTCATATGTACTCTTGATTGGATTTAATTAAAGACATAGTACTTCAATGAATCTATTTCTTCTGACGTAAAGTAAGAACTAATTCAAGGTATTAATTGAAGAGCTTGAATTGTCTATTCATATTACATCGATAGAACCGAAAAAATCATATTGTCCTCAGGGTTTAATAATTAATAATACTTGTTATTCTCGCTTATCAGAAATCAAAACGAGCCAAGAAAAAAAGGCTCAACTCGACTCAAAAAGTCAATGTTCATGTTGTTTGATTGACTCATGCTAACAAAATTAACGCAAAGAGTACTCAAATAAAACAGAAGATCAAATGATTTTAAGTCATATTTACGAATTACTGGTTGTGGGTGGGGTGTGTGAGTGGGTAAGGGTGTGGATGGGTGTCGGTGTGGATGAGTATAGGTGTGGTTCAAGACAAGACTAACATCCACACCCCACACCCACACCCACACCCACACACACACCCACACACACCCACACCCACACACACCCACATCCCACCCTGTCGTCGTTGTTGAGACGTGGTTTTTTTTTATGTAAATAGTAATGGAAAACGTATGAATCGTATTGAAGAGTTAATGAACGTGACGGAATCACAATAGAAAAGTGTTTGCAACGTTATGTGAAAAGTGATCGAAAGAAGACGGATCACGGCACCAAATTATTAAGACTATCCATATTCGTTGTAGTTTGAGATTGATTCTGCTTTGTTAAGCGAGTTTAGAGAACACTATTTAAAGAGAAATAAAGCATCAAAGAATGCGAAATGAATAAACAAATACCGATGTGTCAAGGCGTTATACATGTGACTGTAACACAAGGTATTATAATAACCTCTAAGAAGAAAACGTGACCTACAAATTTTGAAAAAATTATGTAGATGCATAACAACATTGAATTGCAATAAGTTTTGCTCTATTCAAAACATATAATACTAGGAACATTCCTCTATAAGTTCAATTTGTCAGCACTTGGTATAATTATACAAGTTTAATTATTAGAAAAGACTTTAAGAATACTAATATAATCATGTGATTTCGAAGATTGGAGAAGGCTACTTTTTCTTCTTCGAGGTAATTATAACATCCGAACTTGGTGTTTATTGATATTTCTCTCTTATAAATAAAAGCGTTAAACACGCTTCTATCATTAACAAGAAAACCAGCTCATTTGTTTAAAATACAGTATCTATATTTAACTTTTATGCCGTAGGCCACCAGTGGCTCGCATCAGACCGAATGTGTTAAGATAAAGGTAAGAAACATAAAGCTCTTTCCATTTCAGTTTCTAGAAGAGAAAATTTGTTGAACATTTATTAAAACTTGCTTTATTCGAGAATGTGTCAGTATGATATCTTTCAAAACGATTGCAAATAATGGACAAACAGTTGAATTAGATTTAATGCTACTGTAAATAAAACATGCATTCATTGAAAATTTATTCTGTTCAGAATGAAACATGGAGAATTTTTATTGCGTTCACAATTTATTGTGTAATAGATTGATATCTATTAAAAAGACAGAAAAACTTATCAAGTATTCAATATTTTATTTATTTATGTAAATATTCTTCATGAATTAATTCTATATTCGTAGTATCCGATAATGATTTACATATTTGATTGGTTCCTATCACAATTTACATATACTTAATACTCTTACAGAGCATATCACATGATTGAGTTATAGAATATTGCATAAGAATATTACCCATGTAAAAAAAAAAAAAAAAAAAATCAACTTTAGAGAGGTCAAAATTGATTAAAAATCGATTAAAATCATACGATTTTTAATCAATAATAGAGCAGTAATAGGTATGGCAAAATCAGATTTTAATCGATTATTTCGATTATTATG